CCTATTGTCGACATTGCTAGCATGAGACCCAGAGTGACACTGGGGACACAGACACATAAACACAAAAAACTGTGGTAAATGCCATGATGGAGGAGGTGAGTGGATGATGTGAGAGCCCCGAAAAGAAGCCTCTCGCAGAGTGTGTGGGGTGGGGACCCCTGAGAAGGGGAAAGCCCAGGAGGTTTTTTGTCATAGGAAGTACGCAGCTTGGAGGATGAGTACAAGGGAAACCAGGTGAAAAGGGAGTTCCAGACAGCCAGAACCGCATCTTCGGAAGGCAAAGGAGGAGAGGGAAAATGGCTTATTCAGGGAATCACAAGTAGTTCAGTAAGACCGGAAAACATGACACTTATAGGTGAGTTGCAAGAGATTAGTTGAGGAGAGAAGCAAGGTCTAGAATGATTACGGTTCTAGGCCATGGTCAAGGTCCTATGCCATGAATTTGTCCTGAATGGTTTCACACCACATCGGACTCGCATGTTAGAAAAATCACTCTGATACCACAGTAGAAATCTGATGGAGCCGCGTAAAACTAGGAATCCCGTAAAACCAGAAGGAGCCATGTAAAAACAGAAGCAGGAACATGATTTCGGAAGCTCTGTAAAAACTGGTGCGAAGCCAAAACTGGTTTGGCTCAGTGGATAGAGCATTGGCCTGCGGACTGGAAGGTCCCAGGTTCGATTCAGGTCGGGGTTATGTGCATTGGTTGTGGGCACATCCCCGGTGGGGGGCGTGGAGGAGGCAGCTGGTCGATGTTTCTCTCTCATCGATGTTTCTGGCTCTCTATCCCTCTCCCTTCCTCTCTGTAAAAAAATCAATAAAATATATTTTAAAAAAACAAACAAACTGGTGGGAACTTAATTAGAAATGAACGTGGAGCTGGGCAGCAGACCTTCAGAGATCCGAAAGAAAACACAAATAATTAACTGGTTGTAGGTAACTTATGGTAAAGGGAAGTGATTAAAAGGGCATTTATGGCTTGAATAAGGGAGTGGATCATGATGCTATTAACTGAGATGGTGAATCAGAAGGAGGATGTGGGTTGGCAGGGTGTGTGTGTGTGGTTAGAGGTGGAAGAGGGTAGAGGTAAAGAGTTCAATTTTGGATGTGTTGAGTCAGAGGGTAAATGAATAAAAGCTGAGGAAGTGAAAAGCAAGCACGTGTATTGCTCTTTCCAAAAAAAAAAAAAATGGTACATGTGCAAGCAAAATCTTGTATGTGTGTGTCTGTAGATTTGGGGAAGATTTGTAGGGGCTTTGGTGCGTGGTGGTCTCCATTCTCTAAGTAGTTGGAGGTGATGGGATTTTCTAAAGGGTAAGGGGATGATGAATAACCATGATGAGGAGAGCAGTCAAGTTTAGAATAGCCATGTCATGTGAGCGAGATGCTGATTGCAGACACAGGGAAGATGGCTAGAGACTATGAATATAGAAAGACACCAATTCATGTGCCTGAGCGATTGATTCCCTTCAGCATCCCCCGGGAACCTGGGTGTTAGCCAGCTTTCCAGAGGTTGAGAGAGGGCTGGAGGCTTCCTCTTCCTTAGCCCCCAGTCTACTCCAACATGCTGGAATGTCGAGAGGGTTACAAAACCAAGGTATGTTTCAAATGTTTACACTCAGCCAATTACCATGACAATTACGATGCAGTGTAACTGTGCTATTCGCCAGATAATTACAGAATTTACTTAAAACATTAATTCATAATGTATTAAAGAGTCATTTGGTAACAGGACAAAGTTGATCTATAATGAATGCCATCTTGTAATGGTGCAGGCATAGATCTCTGGGATGATAGTATGATCTCAGTTTGACAAAATGTCTACATGTGGGTCCAGGCCCCCATAAACCTTAGATATTGGATGGGAAAGACAGAGATGACTGGATAAATTCAGTTTAAAAGATTCATTGAAATACATGAGGCAACGGAATTGAGGGCATAGATGACTAAGAGAAGTTGAAGCAATGTTATGATTTCTAAACTGAATTGGGAAAGAAAGGAAAACAGGAGTGATAGGTTGGTGGGAAAGAGAGAGGTTAATAATAAATGAGGGGTGAGTAATGAAACCAGAGAACCACATGGTTCTTGAGAGAATAGTATAACATAGTTGGATTTTCCTAGCTGAAGGATTTCTGGACATTGATGGGGTGTAGACACAGGAGCAGGTTGAGTGGAGTGGCGTGGAGACGAGGGTCCATTGTAGCTGATTAGTCAGGTAAATGCGAGACTAGCGTTTTTGAGATAATGATCTCCATGGACATTGAAAATGACCCAAGAAAACCGTGGATGTTTGTCTGAGGAAGGCAACTCCCTATTTCAAGGTCCCTTAAATTGCTAATTGCTCCCAAAGTGGGGCTGGAAAGGAGAGAGAGGCAAAGGATTGAATTCATGTTATTGTTATTCCACACTAACCCGGATTGAAATTTTATAGATGAGGCATAGTAAACTACAAAATCTTCAGCAGTGCTTACAGAGCATAAAATCACTCCAAACAGTCTTTTAATCCACTTATCAAAGCAATTTTGTTCTCATTTTAATGACAGGTGAAACAATATTGAACAAAGCAACCACTGCAGTACCCTAAGCCCTTTAATTATAGTGTTTGTAGTTGTAAATGCTCTAGTTAAGGGACAGCTTCCATTACAACCTCAGGTTTTTAATCACTTTGGTTCTTGAAAGTTTGTTTTTCAGTTGAAGTTTTTAATGCGTAGTTTCTGTACAAAGGCTTTGTGTGGGCTGATTACTGGACATGAGAGGAAGGGACTGCCAACAGGATCGTGGGGGGAAGAGGGAGGGGGAGAATTGGGGAGAAGTTGCTACAAAAGAGAGGTCATGTCACTACATGTGAAGTAAACTGTGAACTTGGACAATGAGAGCTGACATTTATGCAGAACTCATAGGCCAAAACCTGAGCTAAGTACTTTTATGTCCACTGACTCATTTAATGCCTCCACATATGAAGTGGCTGTTATTACCGGTGACCACAATATTAAAGAAATTAAAGAACAGGTAATAAGTAACTTGCCCAATGCCTCACAGCTGGTAAATGGTGGAAATGGGATCTGAACTCAGATCGCTGTAACTGCAGAACCTACACGTGTATAGTTAAATGCACTTAACATGTTGGTATGGGGTGGAGATAAATCTAAGGAGCATTGGGGGCTTCACCAAGGGGAATCCCTTTCTTCAGATGAAATTGGGGTCCAGAGCAGTTGAGCAGAAGAACCCTGCTTTAGAATCTTGAGGGCCCCGAAGCCTCTTTCCCCCGGACCCCACCCTCTCACACCAAGTGATCCAGATCCTTCCTCAGAATTCTCTTGGGCATGTCCTGGCTGGAGGGAGATTATCTTTTTGCTCAGGGGACCTTTTCTTGCTTAAACCTATTTATACATCTGCTCCCCTGGCGCTGCAGACAAAATCATTAAAACAAGTTAGGCTTCTTTAAGAATGGGCTGGCGGGTTTAAAATCAGAGCGATGTTGCACAATCCTGTGAATATACTAAAAACACCGAGTTGCTTAAATGGATGAGCCCCATAGTCTGTTTATAGCTCAACAAAGTTGCTTATTTCAAAAATCAGAATGTATGAATTAAAAGTGGTTTTTTTTTGTTTTTTTTTCCATTGCTTTGATTTTACATCGACAACCAGGTGGCTGGGGTGAGCTCCTCTCATTCCTTATCCAGTCGACATTCACTGGAGTCCACCCTGTGCCAGGCACAGGGATGAGGAAGGAGGTGGGGGTGGGGCGGTGGGGTGCACTCCAGTCCCCTGGAGGGCGAGAGAGAGGCAGGTACACAGAGGAATCTGCAATCCCTAAGCACTGACTTCCTTTTCCTGAGGTTTCAGGTCTACGTTGCAAGTTTCAGTGTTAAAAGTTTTCACTTTTTTTTAAAAAAGGCAATATTGTTTGTTTTTTTTTAAAGCAAATCACACCAGTCACAGATCTACTCTCCAAACTTGGAAGCACAGTGACCGTTCATCCGTTTGTAGGGGGTGGGGATGGGGGGTTTGGTTTTGCACAAAGTGAAACAAATCAAGTTGACTTTACAAAGAATGGAGTCTTATCCAAATCAGTGCCTGTCCGCGGGTTTGTCAGCGAACTCCGACCTCTCCCGGAGGCTTGGGCCCCGCCGTGCGTTTGCACCTCCCGGGGGAGTGTGTGTGTGGGGGGGAGACACTGTCCCCAGCGCGCAGCTCGGGGCCCACGGGCAGCCCCGGGGACCCTTCCCGAGGACCGGCCGGCCGGGGCCGCGCCGGGCTCCCTGCGGCCAAGGGCGGCCGCGTCCTCCGCGGGGATCGGACTCCCACCCCGGCCGGGCCGGACCGGGGCCCCTGGCCCGGCGGGGCCGGGCGGGCGGGCGGCGGTCACGTGGCGGGGGCGGCGTGCGCAGGAATGCGGCGGCGGCGGCGGCGGCCGCGGGGAGCGCTCCCTCGGCCCGGATCCGGCGCGGGCGGGCGCGCGGAGGAAGGAAGAGCCGCGAGGAGGCGGGGCCGGCGAGCGGCGCGGGCGGGCGCTTCTCTCAACTTTAGTTTTGGCGTCCGCGGCGAGCGGGAGTCTCAGTCGGGCGCCGCCGCCGCGGGGGAAAGAAAGGGAGGAAGGAAGGAAGGAGGAACCGGGGAAGGAAGTTAGGAGAGAGGAAAAGGGGAGGAAGGCACAGGCCGCCAGCCGCCCCGCGTCCGCCCGTCCGTCCGTCCGTCAGCGCAGGGCAGCCAGGCCCCCGGCGCCGCGGGTCCGGCCGGCCTCGCAGCCCCTCCCGAGGCGCAGCCGCCAGGCCAGGGGGCCGGGGCCGGGGCCGGGCGGGGCGGAGGCGCCGGGCGGGGATGCGGGGCCGCCGCGAGGCCCCCCGGCCCTGAGAGCAGCGCCGCGTCGCTCCGCCGCCCAGCGCCGCCCGCCTCCCCCGCCGCCTTCGCGTCCGGCCGGCCCGTCGAGTCTCCGGGGCGCCGGGCGGAGCCTCCCCTCGCCCGCCTGGTCCGAGGTGCGCGCCGGGGAAGCAGGAGCCATGGATCCCGGGCAGCAGCCGCCGCCGCCGGCCCCGCAGGGCCCGGGGCAGCCGCCCGCGCCGCCCCCGCCGCAGGGCCAGGGCCCGCCGTCCGGGCCGGGGCAGCCGCCGCCCGCGCCGCCGGGCTCCCAGGCCGCCCCGCAGGCCCCGCCGGCCGGACACCAGATCGTGCACGTCCGGGGGGACTCGGAGACCGACCTGGAGGCGCTTTTCAACGCCGTCATGAACCCCAAGACGGCCAACGTGCCCCAGACGGTGCCCATGAGGCTGCGGAAGCTGCCCGACTCCTTCTTCAAGCCGCCGGAGCCCAAGTCCCACTCCCGACAGGTAACCTCGCCGCCGGGCGGCCCGGGGCCCGGGACGGGGAGGGAAGGGGAGAAAGGGGTCCGGGGGGCTCTAGCGGGGCAGGAGCGGCGGCGGCGGCGGCCCCGGAGGAGACCCGGGAGGTGCCCGCGCCCGCTCCACCCGGAGTCCCGGGTCGAGATTTGTTTTTCCGCTCCGACTTGGGGCTCTGCGGTTGCAAGCCGCGGGGGGCGTGCTTTCCCCTTCTTCTTCCTTCCTTCCTTTCCTTTCCTTTCTTTCCTTTCTTCCCGGGGCTCCCGGGAGGCCGGCGGGCCGGCGGGGGAGGTGCGGGCAGGAAGGGGGTGGGGAGGCCGCGGTGGGCTGCACAATGCGCGCGCCGCCGCCGCCGCCGCCGCCGCCGGGGGGAGGGCGCCCGGCCTCCCAGTGGGTGCGCTGCCAGCGGGGCCCCATCCCCCTCTCCCCGGGGCCTCCCGGGGGTGGGGGTGGGGGTGGGGGTGGGGGGCGCATAATTGTTCTCTTTTTTCCCGGCGTCCAGGAGGGGCGGGGGTGGGACCAGTCCCTGCGGTTTCGGGCTGCTCCGCCCGCTCCCGCTCCCAAAAGCGTTTCTTTTCCGCGCGGGGGGCGAGGGGGGGGGGGGGGGGGCCCGGCCCTTAAACTCTGATTACGGGACCCAGACTTTCCTGGAAGTTGTGGATGGAGTTCAGTGCTTTTCACCCCCCTCGTCTTCTTCCCCCTAGTTCCCTTGGAAACTCTATGGGGCAGGCTCGCTCGCTCGCTCGCTCGCACCGGACTTAGAAGGCTCCCGTGGAGGTCCCCCGGGTGCAGGCTGTTATTTGCAATCGGCTGAAACGCGGGGAGACGAGCCGCATCTGCGGGGCGCGGGGCGCGGGGCCCGAGCTGCGCGTCCCGGCGCCTGGGCTGCAGCACGAGCCGCGGTAACGCGCCGCCGCAGGTTGACTCATAGGCCGAGTCCTGCCCGGTTCGGGCTGCGATGAAAAGTTACTGTTTGGGAAGCGATGACTAATGCGAGGCCCGTTCGCCATTGCTTTTTTAGTTTCTTTTGCCGAGGCTAGGAGCGGGGCTGTGTCCCATGCACGGCGGTCGATTATTTTGTCCACTTTGGTGCAGCAGCAATGGAAGGGAAACGGTTAGAGCAGTGCTAACATTCCGATAGGTCCCAGGCGGTCTGTTTCGTGTAGGTTTTTCCTTTGTTTCTTAATCTAAAAAAAAAAAAAAAAAAAAAAAAAACGCTTCAGGCTAACTTTCAGCTTAGGAACTTTGCCCAAAAGTTAATTGGTTTTCCAAAGACTGCTGCGATGGAGTTTGTTCGCTGGGGCTGTAACTTGAGTGAAGAGAAGAGTTGTCGCCCCATTCCCGCCCCCCCTCTCCCTCCCCCTCCCCCCACCTACTTGCAAGCCTGTTTGTTGTATGTTCTCCTGCCTCAGACCAAGGGATTTTTGGAATTCAGAAAAACTCACTTGACCTGCTGGCAAAAACCTGGGTTAAGAAGGAGAAAGGAAAAAACAGTTTAGCTGTTTGCTTAAATGCTTCAGTTTGTAAGAAGTAGGCTTTATGCTTTTTTCTTTTACTCCTGGGAGTGGGTTTCTGGACTCATGGGAAAATGTGTGTTGGCATTGCACTCTATAGGGTTATGCAGCTAGTTAACATGTTTTGAAAGCATACTACACACAGGAGAAGATTGAATTCCCCATTTTGTGGCACCTACATGTAATTGCAGCTAAAAAGTATACTCTTAATTGCACAAGAATTCATATACAGGAGTTTACTGGTTTTATGCTATTGATTGTCTAATATAGATTTGTTTTTAATAAATTTCTTAAGTGATGTGCATCTGTAAGTTTTATTTTTGCTAATGATTTCCTAATTCAATATATTCTGATTGGAAACTCAGAAATGTACATGATTTTAAGGCATAAATGCCTCTCTGATTGCTTCCAGTCTCCCTTCCTTGCATATATGAAATTCTAACTTTTTGATAATCAAACCCTAATTCTAATAATGGAATTCAAATAACCGAATTATGAATAGTGTATGGATTGTAAAGAATATCCACAAACTATTGGATGTAAATTAATTCATATGTATATGTATGTGTAAGTGTGTAAGTTCTTAAGTTATATTGTAATGCAACTGTTGACATCTTTATTATCTAGGTACAGATAATATAGTTGGATTTTTATTCGTTATGTGGCTTTTAAGAACATTTGGCTAGTTCTAAGTCTTTTGCATTCATTGTAAGTTATATAACTTGTGATGATTGTTTTACTGATGTCATTTGTCCATGATGAGACAAGAAAAATGACGATTGTCATGTGTTTAGGGTTTAGCTTAGGAAAAATATTAACTAGTGAAAAATACTGCAGTTATGTTCCTTGGCTTACATTTATACCTGGGACATTTTAAAACTTGGGAAAGCACCCATACTTCATTGACCTTATAGAAATTAGGTTTTAAAATTCAAAATCTATTAATTTAGGGATGTTCCATTTATTTTGTACAACTTGTCTTTAAAATATGTAGAAAGAGCACATCAAAGTGTAGTGGATAGAAAATTCACTTAGATATATTTCTCATCAACAAAATTACAAATGTAAAAGTACATATTACAATTACATAAAACCTTTAAAAATATCCACCTGCATACCTGTATTGCTCTCTGTCACATATTAAACGTTGAAATTTGCCTTTGGTACTTAGATATTTGGTTGCAATGAAAGTCTATCTAGGAAATTGAAAAGGACTACTTAAAAAGAATTCTAAGAATTTCATTTTAATATTCCTATAGGCCAGTACTGATGCAGGCACTGCAGGAGCCCTGACTCCACAGCATGTTCGAGCCCATTCCTCTCCAGCCTCGCTGCAGCTGGGAGCGGTGTCTCCTGGGACCCTGACCCCCACAGGAGTCGTCTCTGGCCCGGCAGCCACCCCCACTGCTCAGCACCTTCGGCAGTCTTCTTTTGAAATTCCTGATGATGTGCCTCTGCCAGCCGGCTGGGAGATGGCAAAGACGTCTTCTGGTCAGAGATACTTCTTAAAGTAAGTGAGAACAATGGAGGGAGATAGTTTTCTAAGGAAAATGTATTTTGGAAAACACTGTACAATGGTATCAGGAATTAAAAAGCCATTTATTTTTTATTTTACTCAATATTTCTGTCAAGTTCAGTTAAACTTCCGTAATTATTTTCTCCCAGTTTGATATTATCTAATACCTTCTTTAGCTTGGGTATATTTTGAAAGCTTGATTGGTTGTTTCAGAGCCTTTTAATAATCTCATGTGGCAATTTGGGTATTCTCATTTTGAGTTTGCGCCAGACCTATTAATTAATCTAGCTCCAAACTGAAAGAATACCATGAGAAAATTCAAATTGTAAGAATTATAGGACTGGCATAGCCTTATGAGTTATGTATAGTGCTAATATCTTTTTAAATTCATATTTTACTGGTAAAGAAGAATTACAAAATAGGACTTCTTTGGGAGGATAATTTTACAGCATTTTAGATTGTGAAATAACAAACCATGTAAGCTGCAGTTTGATGTGATTTATCAGGGTTTCCCCACCACCACATCCCCACCCCTAGAATGTAAAGAGAAACAAGATTTTTAGGTTTAATATACAACCTCTTAGTGGCAAACTTAATAGCAGGTCTTCAAAATTGAATTCCTCCTTTGGAAAAGTAAAAAATAAGGCCATTGGGTTATTTATTTTTACCAGACTTTCTGTGCTTAACAAAATGGTAAAATTTCATCAAAGTTGAAAAGATACAAAATAAAATTTCATCCCCTCTCACTTTGAAATTACAGATAAAACCTTAATATTTTTGTTTGGCTTGGCTTGTTTAAGTGTGTACAAAATGTTTTCTAAAAGTAATTATTACAGACTGAAATTGTTGTTTTAAAAAAGTAGTTTACTTAGTACTATTTAATCAGGTTGAGATAATAGAGTGAAAAACTGTTTTGCTTGAGATCTGTCTTGGCAATCTACTCCTAAGGCAAATGTAACATATTTATTAGATTAGATAATACAATTAATGGTACTGTTTTATTGTGTGAGTCTTAGGATTTTATATTAATTGACTCTTAGGTAGGTTGTTACTTTGTAACATGAGATACAGTTTTGTGACAGACAGGCTAAATAAGGGGATGAGCAGAGGAAAAAGTTTGATTTTGAAAAGTTTCTGCAGTTTTCGTTCCCTTGACTGCAACTTTTTTCTTTTAATTCGCTTTCCGATGTCCTGGTATCCATTTCAAAGGGTCAAGTTTCAACCAGAACAATAAAGGGCCTGAGACTGGAAAGTACACACAAGTCTGGCAAACTCATCTGCATGAGCAAGATCATTTCTTCTCAAGCAGGCGTCCAAAGTAAATGATTGAAAGAGCTGCTAGCTGTGAGGATGTGTCTTTAAGGGAAAAAGAGGGGAAACAGACCAGGCTGTTGGGCGGAAAAAGAAAGGCTGTACTTCTTTGAACCTCTCCCTGCTGGGTCACATGCTGACCTGGGAGATTTTTAAACAGCTTAATAGCCAGCTTACCTTCTTCCTTTGGTTGATTCTGTCGATGAAAGTATAAGGTTAAAGAGCAACATTTTTGTTCTCCTCAGTCTTTTGTATTTTGTAGTAATTGCTTATTGGTGACATCTGCCTATATTTTCATTTTGAGTAATCCTTTTGTTTTGAGCAGAAATAAATAACCTATAATTTATTTTTTAAAACCTCCAATGGTTCTTCCTTTGAGAAGTGTTTCTCTTAAAGATATTTGATAAAGAGGATTAATGAAGAGGGTGTACACATACCACATCACTGTGAGCACCCCACTCCAGCGGCCCCAGGGAGGGTGCACCAGACCAAGTAATATGAAAATTATGCCACAGGAGTAATGGCTGCAGGAGTGGAGAGAAGCTCAGCTGGGAAAGAAAGAAAGAAAGAAAAAAACCTGTGAAAAAGAGAGATAAATATGATTTTTTCTTCAAAAGTTTTGAATTTCATTATTTGAAAATTGATAAGTGAGTAAATCTTAAAAGTTTAAAAAAAAAATTCTGGCCCTGGTCGGTTTGGCTCAATGAATAGAGCTTGGACCTGCAGACTGAAGGGTCCCAGGTTCGATTCTGGTCAAGGGTATAAGCCCAGGTTGTGATCCCTAATGGGGGCTGTGCAGGAGGGAGTCAGTGATTTTCTCTCATCATCGATGTTTCTCTGTCCCTCCTCCTTACTCTCTGAAATAAATAAAAATATATTTTTAAAAATTTTATAACTATGTATGGTGACAGATGTTAACTAGACTATTGTGATCATTTTGTTGTGTGTGTGTGTGTGTGTGTGTGTGTGTGTGTGTGTGTGTGTAAACTAGAGGCCTGGTACACGGATTTGTGCACCAGTGAAATCCCTCTGCCTGGCCTGCAGGGATCAGGCTGAAACTGGCTCTCTGACATCCCCTGAGGGGTCCTGGATTGCAAGAGGACGGTTCTCTGGTGAAGCACCCCAGAATCAAGCTCCCTTCTCTGGTGCTGGTGCGTCACCCGAGAACTGCAGCTGTCAAGTCATGGCAGCTCGGCAGCTCTTGTATGGAGCGTCTGCCCCCTGGTGGTCATTGCAGGTCATAGTTATCGGTCAAACAGTTGGACGGTCAGTTAGGCTTTTATATGTATAGATGTTAAGTCATGTTGTACACCTGAATAATGTTATATGTAATGAGGTATGTATACCTCAATTTAAAAAATGGGGTGGGGAAATATTTTTGAGGAACTCATGGGAAGTAAAATTAGGCTTATTATATGTTAAAAAATATTAGGATTTTTGACTCAGTTGAATAATTTTCTCATTTTTTACCTTTCAGAAATAGGAGGTTTTTTCTGAGAGAGAGATCGTGGTCAGTAAAAGCAGGCATAATCATGGGTTAGCTGGTACCTGTCAAGAATTATAGAGAAGGCACCTAAGAATTGAATGTGGAAGATGGGTATTATTCTATTCTTCTAAAGGTTGTCTGTTTTATGAACAGTATGCAGTTTGGAGGAAAGTTATGAAAAGATTAGTTCACATGCAATTGTTAGCTATTTCCCTGAAATTATTGGCTCTTTAAGTTGCCATAAACAACTTATTTTTGTGTACTGCACGGGTAAATGATTAATATCTGTCCTATGAGTCAAAGATGATAATGAATGAAGCGTTTGGAAAGTTGCTTCTGTCAAAGTTCATTTTTATCCAAGTCTTAATGTTTCAAAGTCAAGCTCTCTTTGCAATCCATACTTACGTATTTTCCTTTTTGGCTAAAGAAAATTCTTGTTGCCATCTAAATGTAGAATGAAAAATTAGTTGCATATTTTACAACTAGAGAAAAAATTATATTTTAACATCTTTTTAGGTTAGAACTCACTTTCCACTTACAAGTATATAAAAAAATGGCTCAATGGATAGAGCATCTGCCCGCCACCCGTAGGGTCCTGGGTTCGATTCCAGTCAAGGGCATGGGTCTTTGTTGCAGGCTCCTTCCCAGCCCGAGCCCTTGGTTGGGGTGCATGCGTGCAAGAAGCAACCAATTGATGTGTTTCTTTCCATCTTTCCATCTCTCTTCCACTCTCTCAAAAAATTAATGAAAAAGTATCCTCAGGTGAAGATTAAAAAATAACACCAAGTACATACACACCAAGTATATACTTTATCAAGATTTATACTTGTCATGAAGAAGTCTTTGGATCATAAAGGTCCAAACTTAGAAGGTGATGTGATGTGTTTGAAAACTTAGAAATGTTGATTTTAGAAGCAACTAATTGTTGCTTTGTAACCACAGATGAATGACTTTGAAGTCAATTGGCCCATCCTCTTGTTTCATGGCAGAGTAATTACTGAAGAAGGATTATGGACAGGCAACCATTGGTATTTTTAAAGCTCTTCCTAGGTCAATGAGATCTTCTGGAAAAGACTTCTACTTTAGCTTGACAAGTGATAAAGTGAATTATGATGATTCTACCTACATTTATCAATGATACATATTTAAGCTCTTGTATAATTGTGAAGTATGAAAAAAAAAGCTTAGCATGAATATTATGTATAATATTTTGATCTACTGAATTTACTGTTTAAAACTAAGTTTCTCAAAGTTGTATATTGAGCTTTTATTTTTTTTAAATCATTTCTCTTTATTACTCTGAAAAGTATTGCTTTCTTCAGCTTTCTTATAGTTTTCCTACAGGAAATAGTTCTTCAAGTAGTTGGTCAACAACTTCCTATTTCTTTATAAGCTGCTGAATAACTTCCTGAATTAGTATTCTGTAATATCTCTGGTTACAAGGAATGTTTTTCTCAGATTTACTTTTTATTGAATCTGATACCTTGTAACTATTACCATGTACAAAGAACTTCTTGTATATAATGTACCATATAGGATTTTGTACTTTGATTTAAGAAATCTGATCCGGTGATTTTTAAAAGTTTGTAAATATGCATTTATTTTGATAATGTTCTAATTTTTAAAAGATCATTTTGTTTCATTTCTACCATTTATCACTTTCTGAGGACTGGCCAGTGTTTTTAAAGCTTGAAGACTCAAGGTTTCATGTGGCTGTGATCTGATTAAAAGTCATTATTGAGTGTCTTGATCCAAGAGTATTTTGTTCAGAGATTTTCAACATTGCACAGCAGCAATATAAATCAGCCAGTTTTACAACATTAGTGAATTTGCCTTACAGATGTTGTTGATCACTATAAATGCTTTGGTTCTTTTTTTATGTTATTTCAGAAGTTAATGCTCCACTGCTTTAATTAAAGCTACCTTAAAATGTATCAATTAAAGATGAATTAAACTGTTTCTTGTTACAATTTGATCTATGCTTCTAAACACTTGCACTGCAGAAGACTATACACAAATGCAATGTGTCTTGTTACTACAATAAAGATTAGATGTTTTTAAAGGAACAGTTTCAAAAAGAATAAAGTTATTGGGTGGGGGTTGGTTTTGTTTCTTGCTATATCACGTTAACTTGATATGATTTCCTTTTAAAAGTGAAAAGCTTGTAATATTGCCATTAAATGTTGATTAAGCTGTG